GGGAAAGATACTACGGCCACTGAAGTCAATCCTCTTCAGTAGGATGGCGGGTCCAACAACTATCACGTTAACAGTTACTTCTGATAGTCAAACTCATTAGATAATGGCCTACCAGGTGATGTGCTTCTATTCCGACTTCATAGATAGTGCCCCACTAGGTGATGTGCCTTGTCTACCTCTTTTTTATTCCCCTGCGAAGTCTTAATCAAGACTGGGGGTTAATTACTTAGAATCCACTGGATTAAGAGTAACAAATCTTTCACATCGTCAAGTTAACATTACACTTCTGACGATCATCATCCCCACAGAGTATGCATTCAGTTTGCATCACTCCCAACTTGTCACGTTAACAATACACCTCTGACAAAACCCACTTATCAATCCTCATCAATTGGATGGTAAGTCCCCAAAGTTGCTCCAATCGCAACACAAAATCTTGTCACGTTAACAATACACCTCTGACAAAACCCACTTATCAATCCTCGTCAATAGGATGATAAGTCCCCCAAAGTTGCTCCAATCGCAACAAATTCTTGTCACGTTAACAATACACCTCTGACAAAACCCACTTATCAATCCTCGTCAATAGGATGATAAGTCCCCAAAGTTGCTCCAATCGCAACAAATTCTTATCACGTTAACAATACACCTCGTCACGTTAACACTACACCTCTGACAAAATCCACTTATCGACTCTCTTCAATAGAGCGATAGGTCCACAAACTCGTCAAGTTAACACCACACCTCTGACGACCAAATCAACTTATCGACTCTCTCCAATTGAGCGATAAGTTCTCAAAATTGCTTCCATAGCAATATTTTTCTTGTCACGTTAACACTACACCTCTGACAAAATCCACTTATCGACTCTCTCCAATAGAGCGATAAGTCCTCAAAATTGCTTCCATAGCAAAATTCTTCTTGTCACGTTAACACTACACCTCTGACAAAATCCACTTATCGACTCTCTTCAATGGAGCGATAGGTCCACAAACTCGTCAAGTTAACACCACATCTCTGACGACCAAATCAACTTATCGACTCTCTTCAATAGAGCGATAGGTCCATAAAATACTGTTAGGTTAACATAACACCTCTAACAGTCAACCCCCCAATGAACTTGTTAATTCTTTCGGTGTTTCAAGCTACACAGGAAGAAATGACACCAAAAATCCATGCCTTCACGCATGGGGGACTTTATCTCGATCCCTAATTAGAGATAAGTCTGCATCTAACACATGCTGCCGGGTAGCCTATTCCCGCAATAATAGCAAAGCCTACGTATTCAATATCGTAGCAGGTCGTTATTAATAACGCCAAAATCCATGCCTTACACGCATGGGGAATTTTATCCTGAATCCTAAGTAGGGATAAGTCAATGTCTAACACACGTTGCCGGTTAGTCTTTTACCGTGAAAAGGACATCAAAATCCATGCCTCACACGCATGGGGGACTTTATCTTGATCCCTAAATAGAGATAAGTCTACGCCTAACACGCGTTGCCGGTTAGTCTTTTACCGTGAAAAGGACATCAAAATCCATGCCTCACACGCATGGGGGACTTTATCTCGATCCCTAAATAGAGATAAGTCTACGCCTAACACGCGTTGCCGGTTAGTCTTTTCCCGTCAAAATGACAAAGTCTATGTATTCAAAATCATAGCATCAAGACTAAGAGAGTTCATTCTCTTAGCACAACGTTACATGTGGAACGGACCTAGATAATTCACATGCTAGCCCGACTCAAACGGTAGTCGGTAAAGGCTTATCAAATCCGTTGATGGCTGAGGGTTTGCCAAAAATCCTACGCACATTTGCAGGCCCATCGGCTTAATAGATGTGAGTCGAGACTTAAAACAGATGCGCCAAAGACAAGTCTCAAAGACTTAGTCAAAAATGCACGGAAGCCACTTCCATGTCTTAAGTCAAAATGTTGACCCGCGATGCAAAAAACCAAACGCCGAGGTCACACCTGTGTTCCAAATTCAACATGCAACGGTGAAACCCGCATCTCAAGTTCAAAATGCAGGGTCCACCCCCACATTCCAGAAGCAGGATTATGGCACATACCTTCACACAGGTCCTGCATGGAAAATCCCTTCAACCAAGCTGCCTTCGAAGCGAGTGCAGAGAACAACTCCTTTGTGACAAGGAATCAACAGCTCCAAGATCAGAGTTGAGATCCAAAGTATTCCGAAAATTCGTCCCAGTCAACCGCGAACTTTCGAAAACTTTGGAGGGGGTTCTGTAGGCTATCTAAAATTCACAATAGATAGTTGATCCCCCATCAAATACCGATGATAGAAGTTACAATCTGACGACTTCCAGAAGGCTACAATTTGAGAACTTTCACGTAGAAGGCTACAATCTGACGACCTTCACGACAACTGATAAAAGCTCTAATTCAACAGCATTCACAATCAACATCGGGAGTTACAATCTGACGACTCTCATATTTTATAACAGGCAAAGTGTGCGCCTGTGTTGCTTGAGCTGCTGAACGCAGAGTTCAGCTCTGCATTCTAACGCCCTAGCACAGAGAATCTGCCTGTGCATTCAGCCACCAAAATAGGCCCAACTCTGCGTTTTTAGTCTAAAAACGCAGAGTTCGGGCCCTGAACGCTATTTTTCAGCGTTGACTCGTTCAAAGCACGCAATGAACAGTTCCAGGAACTGTTTTCCCCCCCACGATTTGAGGGATTTTCGCCCCACTTAAGAGCGGATTAAGGGGGTAGTTACCACCCTTAATCCCCTATAAATACCAGAAACTCAATTGAGTTAAGGGATCGAATTTTCTCTGATCAACAAAGGGAGATTCGGTCAAAAGGATTTTGCTCTGGGCTCTGGGATCCTTCTTTTTTTTGCAGCAAGGGGGAGATCGATGTTCATCCTCAGCAACGATCGACCACAGGAGCATTCCCTTGGCTTATAACCGACTTTCGGTTCAAATCAACTCTTTTTCAAGAGTTCAAACTCATTCAGAGTTATCAACTCGATCAGAGTTCAAAACTTGCTCTGCAAGTTCTTCTAAAACTCATTCAGAGTTATCAACTCGTTAAGAGTTATTTTCAAACTTGCTTTGCAAGTTCTCCACAGCATCAAATCGTGAGGAGAAAATCACGTTCCAGTGAATCAAGACGTTCGGATCGTCAACGAGAAGCAAACTCGACGCGAGCATTCGAGGGAGGCATCTCATCGCCACCGTGAAGAACCCAGTTTTAAACAAAGGGGAGAATCAAATTCATTCTCCTCTCTTTTGTAATCGGAATCCAAATTGTAATTGATTTTGAGAGAAATACAAGTCAAATTTTTCTTTCATTGTCTTTCTACTGCAAATTTCCAACGAACAATAACTAAAAATGATATCCTCATTGGTCTCTCACCATTTTCTCATCATTTTTACTTTTCTCATCATTTTCTCTAAACTAATCAAAGATGAAGCCAAAAACTCACAAATATGGCATCATATATGCAATAATAAAAATGATAACATGTGATAAATTATCAAACTATTTGTTAATTATTTGGTTCATTTACATCCCTAGATGTGTTAGCAATTTACATAATTTGTTGGACTACTTTTAAAATATTATAGATTTGAGGGACTAATATTAAAATAATTCTTAATTTTTTGTGGGGGTCACTCACTAACAATGAGATAATCAATCACTTATGTTAAAAATTTTACGATGAACACATTAGTATTGGCAACGAATCGACGGATT